GGGCGCGGAGGCCCTGGCCGTCGACTCTCCCGCGTACGACTCCCTACCGACGCCTTCCCAAGCCATTTGGACCCCTTTCGAGCCCGTGAACCCGCTCTCCGGCTTCGACCCCACCGGTAGCATCCAACCTCAGCGCAGAGGGAGCCAGCCGTCTCCCCCTCGCCTGTCTCCGACGTTTCCCGAGAGCCTGGATCACCCGCTGGCCCGGAGAGCGCGGAGCGACCCGCCGGGCGCAGGGAACCACGCCGGCCTTCCCATCTACATCCCTGCTTTTTCCAACGGTACCAACAGCTACTCCTCCTCCACTGACGGGCTCAGACACCGTCCAACGGCGGCTCCACGTCCAGCTCGCCGCCGGAGTCGCGGCGCAAACACGACTGCGTCGTCTGCTTCGAGAGCGAAGTCGTGGCCGCCCTCGTCCCCTGCGGCCACAACCTCTTCTGCATGGAATGTGCCAACAAGATCTGTGAAAAAGAATTGCCATCGTGTCCCGTTTGCCAGACAGCTGTTACTCAGGCAATCCAAATTCACTCTTAAATATATAGAGATATTATTATATATGGAACTTTGAAAACTCTTAAAGGCATGGGTGTAATGGTACCCTCTAGTAAACTTCCTAATGAATTCTGACTGTTGGGCTTTCTTGGGATTAGGCTGAAGTTGTCAATAAATTTATACTTTCTGAGTAGAAAGGCTGCTATGGTAACACTAAGCCTGGGTGGTCTCTGTCCCGCTGGGCTTGCGCGGACGGCGCGTCCAGCAGTGACTCCCGAGCGGTCACCGCGCCGTAAAACCAAATTCAGGGCCTTTCCAGGTGATGGTGCGGAGCGTTTCCTCGATCCGGCAGGGAGGAGCAGGGCTCTGCTGCGCAGGCTTGTGGCATTACCGCTATATCAAACAACACTTCCAATGCTGCCTTCTTTACACTGCCAGTTCTGAAAAACAGGTTTGGGGAATTCATTTTTTCTTTAGGCAACAACTTATGCCTAATTCTTCAGCATTGCAAATGCCTTTTTTTTTTTTCTTTTGTTAAGCAGAATTTGATTTCTTGAAATGGATGAATTTATTGGCAGGTTCAGATAAATTACTGTTCATTAACCTGTTAATTACTGTTAATTTATTTTTGCCAGGCAGGGAGAAGCTTCCTTGTGGACCCTGGCTTGCCCCTGTGTGTTAACAGGGGTATGTTCAGAGGATCAGGAATGTACTGGTCTCGATTGAGAATTCCTACCCACTGCTTTTCTTAATGTAATGTGGAAAAGTCTGGCTGGCTTCATCCCATTTCAGTAAGGGCTTTGGGATGCACATGCTTCGACTAACGGTGAGGATGCTGACATTCCGTTCATTAGTCCGATCAAGCTGTTCTTAAATCGCATTTTAGAGAATAGATAGTTCAAAAATGTGAAGCATTTTTGTGTTCAATCCGTATTTGTCTTGCACATATATAAATATATATTTTATTTTTAGTAATGAAAAAGGGGAGATGCGTGCGTGCCCTTGTCGCTCGTGACAGCAGCCGCGGCAGGGCCCTGCAATCAGTTTACGTCATTTCAAACTGTCTTTCCAATTGCCAGGAAAATAAAACATCTTTTGGATGCGCTGTTGCATTTCAGCCTGTGGATGTTCCCAGCTTTTTCATCCTCAGTACGTTCCCGAATCTGTGCTGGCATAATATGAAAACAACAACAACAACAAAAAAAAAAAACAGAAAAACACACACAAAAAAAGACACAAAGTGGAGTTCTAGTGGATTTTTCTATTTTTTTCGGAGCATTATTTTCCCAAGGCAAGACAAAGCCTTTTTCTCAGTAAAACAAAAATGAAATTATAAGTGTATTGAACTAGTAAATATACAGAAATTTTATTTTTTATTTCCACTTGAAGAGTTACATTTCGTATAAAAGTTTACAAATAACGGTTTTTATTTTATGATTTTCAGTATAAGAGTTGCCTTGATGGCATATTATGTAATGCATAACTTTAATGCTGATTGCTTGTAGAATAGTTACATGTCAGTATTGGAACCTAATCTTTAGTCTTGTAGATACGAACAGCCGTTCACCGAGCATGTATTTTGTATTTTATTGCATTGTACACTGCAACTAATAAGCCAAGGAGTCGACAGACATTAGGTGCGTGTACCGTTTCTATAAACCACAAACTAAGAATGATGAACTATCAATATAGTTTAGTATTTGCTAATTTTACTACACTTTTTGTTATGTATATGTAGGGAGGTTATAGGGATTATAAATTCAATTTGAGTAAAGTTTAAAAACCATATATTTTATGATAAAGGGCCTTTAACTTATGACGGCCAAAGCACTGATATTATATATTTGCTGTAAAGAGAATTATAAGAGTTTTATTTTTCTGATATTAAAAGTTACTTAATAAAGACTTGTTTCCATTAACGTGGAGGTGTCGCTGTCTTGGGGGCCGGCGCGGGCAGCGCGGGGCAGACTCGTCCCGTTGGATGCGGCTCC